AAAGAAAGAAAGAAAGAAAGAAAGAAAGAAAGAAAGAAAGAAAGAAAGAAAGAAAAGAAAATTTTAAAAAAGAGTAAGGGTTGGGAAGATAGCTCAGCAGCATAAGTGCCTGCCTGGGAAGCACCAAGTCCTGAGTTTCATCCTCTGTACAAAGAAAAAAAAAAGGGACGAGCTATCCTTACATCAGATAAAAACAGACTTTAGATCAAAAAGTATTAAAAGAGAGATAGAGGTCCTTATGTAATAATGAAAGGATTGACCAAGATGATATAACAATCATACATATATATTCACCTACCACCAGACCACCCAAATATATAAAGTAAATATTATTAGAGTTCAGGGAACACATAGTCCCCAATACAATAATATTTTAAGGGGGCTGGGGAGATGGCTCGGTAGAATAAGTGCTTGCCTGGCAAGCACAAGGGCCTGAGTTCAATCCCCAGTTCCACACACACACAAAAAAAAAAAAAAATTAATAATAATAATATTTTAGGACTTCAAACCCCCACTTCCATCAGAAGACAGATCGTCCAAACATAAAATCAACCAAAAAATCTTATTTCAGCTGATACCAAGTAGACCTAATGCTTTGTGTTTGCAAACCATTTCATCCAACAGCTACAGAAATACACATTTTTCTTAATCAATACATGGGGTAGTCTCGAAGACAGATTATGTGTTATGCCACAAAACAAGTCTCAACAAATTCTAAAAGTTGAATCATATCTTATTTTTTCCCTGGACACATGGAATAAAATTAGAAATCAACAACATGAAGAACAGTGGAAATCAGACCCGTACAGAATTTGAAATTTAACGACGTTCTCCTGGATGACCGATGCATCCATCAAGAAATCATGAGGGAAATTCAAAAATGTCATGAGACAAATGAAAATAGCAGCGCAGCACACCAAAATTTATGGGATGTGGCAAAACAGTACTAAGAAGTTTATAGCAACAAATATCTACATTAAAAAAAATCAAATATACAATCTAATATTGCAGCTCTAGAAACTAGAAAAGCAGAAACAAACCAAATCTAAATTTGGATCAGTTTTTATGTCTTTATCTCATAATCTGAGTAACTACTTTAAAGATAACAATACTCAATATTTTAACTATTATTAATGTATTGTTTTAAAATTCTGTATTATTTTTTCTCTTTAAAACCAAAAAATTTTACATAAGTGCAAAAATATAGTAAATGCTCAAAAATTCTTTGTTGTATAAATAAAACCTGATCTTCCTCTTCTTACTGCTATTCATTTCTTGAGAAATTATTCCAATATATAATTTAAACTATTCCTTACTATAAGTTGAAACAGAATTCTATGTCAATGAGTCAGTGTGCAAGCTCAAGACCACCAGAAGTCTGCCTCGTATCTTAGGATGACAAATGTTTGATTTAAGGTTCCACAAGCTATTGTACTTTGGTGTCCAGAACATTTAGTCAAATTAATCGCATGGGATAGCATGATGTTTATACACCCCATGGTCTGAAGTTAAATTCCGACTCTTGACTGGTCTGTTTTCTTTTAAATATGCGGATTTCTGTTTATTAGTGGTAATTATCAGTCTGGTTTTTTGTTCTTCTTCAATAGGATATTGAAGAGACAATGAACACTGCTTTAAATGAACTCCGAGAACTGGAGAGGCAGAGTACAGCGAAGCACGCACCCGATGTGGTTCTGGATACCTTGGAACAAGTGAAAAACTCTCCGACGCCAGCCACCTCGACAGAATCTCTCAGCCCTTTGCACAGTGTAGCCCTCAGGAGCTCTGAGCCTCAGATCCGGCGCAGCACTAGCTCCTCCAGTGACACAATGAGTACTTTTAAGCCTATGGTGGCACCCAGGATGGGCGTGCAGCTGAAGCCCCCCGCCCTTAGGCCAAAACCTGCTGTTCTTCCAAAAACAAACCCTACTGTAGGACCTGCCCCACCTTCCCAGGGTGCAGCAGACAAATCTTGCACGATGTAAATACCAGCTGAGCAAGGTCATAAGGGGAAGTGGTTTGAAAAAAGAAAATGGACTAGTGACAAAAGTCAATGATCCATAACTTTCCTTAGTTTTGTGCTTATAACTGGAGATCTTCTGGCTTTTCTATGTTGTCGAATGTAATGTCTCAGACTAGCTAAATTAACACGGGCATTTGTATTTTGTAATTTTTCTAAGTAACTGGACATATGTCATTTTAAAGACAATAGAAACACTTAGACTTACTTGAAAATCCAATGCTGCACCACTTGTAATGAAGGCAACACTGCTCCGTTTCGCACAGTGCTTCAGATTTAGCATAGCCCAGATGAGTCAGAAATGTCTTTGATTGAAAAGCAGTAGGATCTGCTTTCCATGTCTTACTGGAGTGTAACCAGTGTTAGAGGGGCACTTGGGGTCATCAAAAGGTGATCAGGGCATTATTGATAATGACTGTAGGCAACTCTGATTCCATCCAGAGTGGGAGTCCAGCTTCTGCTAAAGACTTGCATTTACCAAAGTAGGACATTCATCCCATGAACTGAGTGGACTGAACGATCGCCTCTTCTGTAGCAGTCACCCCTGGGGCCAGGTTAGAACCCTGGTGTTGCTTAAGTCGAACTAACAAGAGAAAAATATCATCTCCAAAGTTATTCCATGCACTACCATAATCAGGCCCTGGAGGATTACAAGCCCACCCTCTGCATTTCCGAAGCACTAGGACAGTCTGAAGACTTTCTGGGGCCCGGAATACAGTTCAGCGGCAGAATGCCTGCCTGGCAAGTGCAAGGTCCTGTGTTCGATTCCCAGTACAAACAAACAAAAAAACGTTCTGGTTACACCACAAACTTCTGCAAAGATCTGTTGTTCTAACTGCCTAGAAAATACTTCCATCGCCCAGAAATCCCTATTTTCCTCTGTGGAAAAAGAATGAATCCTTGATCCAGTCAGCATTCTCTGACTAAATTACCATGGTTCCCTTAAATGTACCACAAAGGTCTGATGATCCTAATTTTGAAATCTTACTTCCCCACTCCATTTCTCCTTTTGTGCCAACCCTCAACTGGCTATGGTACTTGAGTAAAAGCCATAATGGACCATCGTAGGAAGATTACCTCAGGGGCCCTTCCAATTTTGTACTTTGGAACCATGACTTTTCCTTGATTGTTTCACTTTGTGGCCTGTGGTCTCTATATGACTTACATAGGCAGTCAAGCTCAGTTAGAGAGCCTCTTTCTCTGTTATCCATGCTCATAGACAATTATTCTTTAGCTGATACTTTTGCTGTGTTTCTTTGCTATCTTAAAGAGTTGTTTTTGTTTTATTAGGGGGGCTGGGTGGTGCTGGGGATTCTAGGCACACACCCCACCCCTGAGCTATTCTCCTGGTCCCACAAAATTGCTTTGAATGCATTTACTTTTAGTAAGGTATAAATAACCACTGTCCTGCCAGTGGCAGTCAGTAACATCTGTAGACCTATAACCTTTTTATCTATGTTACCATTGAACTTATGAATGAAGGAATATGGATTCCTCAAAGCAAACTCCCTTGAACCACTGTTGGATCTGTCTGTATTTAGTTCTAAGCTGGAAGCCAACTGCAAGCCCCCCTAAGAATTGCACAGTATGGACTTTGCTCCATCAGTCCCTTGGTACGTGCATCATGCTGAAACAGATTAAGAGCTGTACTGAAAGCAAAATCATGACTTTTGTCTTTACCTCGGTTTCCCAGCCTAACCATTCTACTGCCAAATGGGGTTAAATTAATGAACTATGACCTTCCAAAGTCACCCTTGCTTGCCAGTGGCCCAATTTCAGAAGTGGACTGAACAGTGTTGTTGCCCCCACCTGTTTCTAGCTACACACACCCCCATGTATTTCTAAACATGGTAAAGTTTTAAACTTCATTTTCAGAACTGTTCTTTTTGGACATTTTTAAGAAGAGGCCCAACTCAGCATCTGTTCAACGCCTGATCATTTCTTTTGAGTTCAGGAGTCGTTTTGACCTTTAGACACCGTGGAGACCCACGCAGGACTGAGTTTTGAGTTAGCAGTAGCCCTCATAAATTGTCCTCCCCAAATTCTCCAAGAAAATTAAATTTTCCTAATCCCCAGTTCTTTAAAATAATAAGAGTTCTTAAAACCTTTTATCTTCTTTGATGGAAAAGTAAGATGTTCACAGAGGTCAGGGGAAAGGCAGAGGTGTTTCAAATCTATTTTTAAATGCTCTTTACAAGCTTTCACTTTCCCTCTTCAGGTCTTACTGCTGCAAACTGTTTCTTCAGATAGCTCCCTGGTAATCCTCCCCAGGGTATCCTCATTTTTGGTGTTCCCGCCTGTTATAGATCACTGATTGCCTTTCTAGCCCCCCAGAAAACCTTGGATGAGGGAGGACACTGCTGCCGACCCTCAGAAGCTCCACCTTCTTTCAGGAAACGGCTAATATTCTCCCCTCCTGTCCATTTTTTCACTCCTATTTGTGTTCCAAATTTTACCCCCTCATCCCCAAGTGAAGAGGATGACCTCTGATTAAGGACTGAGCAAGGACTTGCCTATCCTTATTTAGTAAAAAATATTCAGATTCCTGGGCTAAGACTAGGTAGCCTCCTCATGAAGGATCCAAGGGAACCTCCGTGAAGCGCGGCAGCAGCTGAGGAGGTTCACCTGGCACACGGCCCTCTTTGGGACCACAGGTGCAGCACTGGAGGACACGCAGAACAAGGAGAAAACAAGGAGTCTTGGAATGGTACATCCTCGTTTCAAGGATCTTCGCAGCTTTCATGTGCAGTTTGAGGAGAATGTCATTCCGAAGATGGGTAAATTATGATTCTACAAAGATTGTCTGACTTCACCTACACAAGAATCCATATTCACAGCTGATGTAATTGTGTGTTCACGTCCCACAGAACTCACCAAAGTAGTTTTATCCAGCAGCCTTTTGGCGTGGGTTGGGGCTTTGGAGGGTGGGTTGTTAGGATAGAAAAGACAAGTACCTAGTTTACATTTTCTGATGAATGTTATAAAAACTATTTTCAGTCTGTTAAGTGAACTTTGTAGAGCTCCACAATCTTGTTCACATTCAACGTCACCACCATTGTTCAGCAGTTTTATGTCTTCGCACAGAGTAATCTGCGTTCAGTGCCCCTTGGCCCATCTGTAGCATACACTGCAGCAGGGTCCCTCTTAATCTACCATTGTGGTGATAGCCATGGTATAAGGCTCCAAGAATCAAGTGACATCCTTTAATAGTTTCTATCAGTGTACTTTAGCCATTCCCAAAATGTGTTTACAACTTACTTAAAATAAAAAAGGGGATGAATTGGTAGTGGTATCCTTAGCATTTAGAAATAGTATCTCTCAAGTCAACAAGTGAAGAAACTATAATCTGTCAATTTTTATGCCTCTGAAATCCAAAATTAGGTGATCTCTGGGTCTGTAAAGGGGGTTGGAAGACTGTAAATCTGCGTCAGTACCCGTCGTCTCCTGACCACAGCTGTTAGAGGCCAGAAACGCAGGAAGCGCGTGTGGGACTCAGTCTTGCTTTCAGTTGTCCGCCGCAGGTACCCTGGGACACAGGGCAGCTTAGAACTGAAGGCTCCGTCCGCGTGCAGAGCCCTGCTCCAGACCACCCTTGAGCCAGGACCTCGACCTCCAGCTG